CGATGTAAAGTGAATAACCACAGGCAAAAGGAAGTTCTACGATATCATTTTTCGCGTTTAAATAACACGTGAAATATTAATTAATAAAAACGTTATTGAGCTTTGTATTACGGTAAAATTACGTTCTTTCTCTGAAATTGTATTTAACGAATTTAAACAACTCTCTCTCTCTCTCAATTAGTTTAACATTTTAATTTTACGTCCAGCTGTTTCTCTTGCTTTCGAGAGTGATAACGATTCAAAGGTTTTACGACATAGTTATTATCATACGATGGATTGTTCGATCGGAGTTGAAGCTCCGTCGGTTGAAGAGACGCGAGATTTGGCCGGCGTCCAAAATGCGGTAACAGCTTCCTTTTCGTGGAGTAATTATTAAAAGTGGATTAATCGCGGGCCCTCGACTTGCGAAAGTAACTTTTATCGCGAACTCTTGCTACTAGAAACTTCCATTAGACGATTACCATTGTTGCCGTCAACGAGTTTATTATTTACGGCGGACAACAGGGCGGAAAGAATTCTGTTACCAATTAGATTAGATCTCTGGTGAAATGTCGTGAGAACGACAGTGAGAAATAAGATTGAGAAGGAAGAGGATAAGGTAAAAAGTCTCGAGAAAATTAGGCGAGTCATTCGAAAAAAGGGGAGATCCACCGTGTAATAATGTATGCAAGAAAGTTCAAGGGAGAAAATCATTATCTGAGAAAAGAGAATTTAAGTAATGCAGGAGATAATGGTAAAAATATCGATGCTTGTTAAGCGAGAGACGCATAGATTAGTTCGTAACTATGATTTGATAGATTGATGTTAACGACAATCTCAGATTTTCGTAATTAATTTTGTAATAATTATTATTACTTCTCGATGTACGTAAAATTTCATTTTAGCAAGATTTTATTTTACGCTGTTGATTAAGAATATCATGACACTCTTAATGAATAATAAATTGATGGTGGGAATAACCAAAGTGATGGAAATGGTCAAAATTTATTCAGAGTACAAATAGTCAGAAATTATTCGAACACTTTCGTAGACGAACTTTACATATATACGTGTGTTATATGAAACATTTTGGAATTTCTTCAGTACTATAATTTTCGAGACATTTGTGGTTTTCAAGAGTATATCGAAGATCGAATCTCATTCCAAAATAATTCGAGTTCTAATGAGTGTCTCTGTCAAATATAAAATTCGAACAGCTATCAGTAATTGTGATTGATCACTTTATATTTTTACTATTACTTTGATATATTCTTGCAATAAATTTCTACGATAACAATTACAAATATTAATTATAATTTCATTGTACACGAATAATGAATATGAATTATATGTAATATGATTAATTATAATTAGTTGCGTTAATTAATATTAATTATAAATTCTATGTACATGCATTTTTAAATTTCCTTCAAACTTGACCAATCGTCAATAATGATCAAGTCTCATTACGATATTGATGAAATTTCAAAATGTTTGATATAATATATGAATGGAAGTTCACGTCCTCCACTGTATGATTATAAATTTCTTTCTATTCCTCGCGATATTTAATATCTCTCGTGCAACTTTCGTTACGTAGTGGCTTCGAAATCTCAGAGTCTCAACTTTCTGTACAGTAAAAATAATCGCAGATGAAACGAGACATCCAATAAGATTAAAGCCTCGTCGTTTCTACACGGAATACTTTCCGCTTTCAGAAACAGATTTTACTCAAGCGAGGATCGGTCAGGAAACGATATTGTGCAACGGTTAGTCGACTTGCTCTGAGGCTCGCGATGAGTTGCTCGTCATCCACGATGCTAGTGAAAGGACGACGTAGTCTAACGTGGGGATTCGGTCGAAAGCTCGGTCACAAAGTAACCGAGCATCTCCGGTGAAAGGTAATAACGCAGATTCGCTGCCACTTCTTTTTTCTCTCTCTCTTTTTTTTCTTTTTTTTTCACTGGCCGCTCGAATCGATCCCGTAAACGGCTGAACGATAATTTGGAGCTATCTGCGCCTGGAGAAAGTGACCTCGCATTTCCCTTGCTCCGTACCGGGGAAATCGTTCCCCGCCACGTCATCTTTCCGGCCACATCCGGTATAACAACGTTACCAGGATGAAACGAGTAATCGTTTTGATCCTCGAGTTCGATCTGTGGCGTCAGCGGTAGACTTCAGATTTTCTCTTTTTAGAATGAAGTTCATGCTTGAAATACCACGGGTATTTTTGTCAAAATTAACTCCGTCTAGTAATAAATGTATAAATTATTGTCGTTTAAACTACAATACTACGTAGTTTGTGTGTAGGATATTTTGATATATTAAAGATTGGTATTAGTAAAATTTTGACGTAGTAGTAATTATATTTGTTGAGTTTTAGTAACGCGAAACTTTATAGATCGATTTTTTTTTTTTTTTGCCTCTTTGTATTTTGTACCAAATATGTTATCATTTCATGAATCCTCAGGTTAATTATCTGTTTTCGTAAAGACAGAAATTACATTTATAGAATCTTGAATAGGTGAACAAATGTATAAAGTATTCGCACTTAATAATGCACTTATTATAATATTAATTAATCTGAGATTCATTTCTTTCTCATTGTTTTGAAGAACTATAAAAATTAAACATCCTAATATATATGTATAATATAATACACGTATAGTATGTTCAATTACTGCCAACAATACATACTATTCTTGCTTCCTAATATTTAAGTTCCCACCGTATCGTATAGTTTCGTTTCACACAGAAAATGTTCTGGATCTGCCGGATTCATTCGCAAAGACTTAAGAAACAGAGCAGCTATGAAAATCTCTGAAGACTCATCAATTGCCATTAAGAGCTGACAATATTTAAAAATAACGATCGACCAGAAAATTAATCGGAAAACCTCTTACTTCAAGTCTGACGAAAGTATTCTAATAAGAGAACATCTTCTCCGGAAAGAGTGGAAAGGCGCGTATAGAAAAAAAACGCTGATGAGCGCAAGTTGTTCGTGTTACGGTGATTGATTATGATTTATCGGATTGAATGAGATCGAGGTAATTACGCGGCCGGTTTGCTTAGCAGCGAGTTATAAATGAGTTCATTATACAGCCGTTCCGTGTAATGGGCGAAGCGCTTGAAAACAGGTTAGAAAAGCCCAGCTAGGTAAATGTAATTACAAAAGATTATATCTAAGCCCACCTAATCTCGTGACTCTGTGCAATATTTGCCAGAGGAACCGGCAGAATTACAGCCAGTGAAGTGACGTAATTAACTGCAACTTGTTTACTTGCTTCATAACGCGCCACTTGATAAATCATAATTTTCACCCTCTTCTGCGCGTCTTACATTTAAAAAAAAAAAAACAAACCTATAGTCTGGTTTATTAATCCTTCGTCGATAACAGTGTCGAGATATCACGCTGATCTTGAATTAGTTTCCATTAAGAAAAAAATATCCGTGATTTGTTGTCCTTATTCTCGAATCTTTAACTTTTGTCGCCATTTTTTTTTATTATTAGAATGTTCTTCCTGAACTAGTTTGAAATATATAATATATATTAAAGAATAATTTTAAAATGTTCAACGATTTTAGAAGTAGATATCTAGTTTCATTGTGAGAATTCTACATACCTTCGAATCAAGACGATTGGTTATACAGTATAGCAGTCTTTTATTAAATTAGTATTTGCAGTAATAACATATCTATCTATGATATAGTTATAATTTTCTAATACACTGGCGAAAAGTTGGAAGATGAATAGCACGAGATAATCGTGTCATTTTATAAAGATGAAATTTAGATGCAATATACATCTCCTAATTCTCATACAACATTCTCATAGACAAGTGACAATTTTATTCGCCACTGTTTACCTACAACAAACATTACTTTATTATACAATCGTCTATGTGCAACACGTAAAAATTTTCGAAATATACTCACAATCAGTAGCTGTTGAACGTATCGAAACGTTCCGATACTTTCATGAGTCACTGAACGACTACAAAGAATTAAACTCAACACGCGAAAACAAATTTCGCGCTCGACGAAATAATGAGACGTGGTTCCTTCTCTTTTCTCATCTTCTATTTGCCTCTTTTTCGATTTGTCAAACAGAAATACGCCAAAGGCATAATTTTTATCGAGCTGCCGGCGAATCGATGAATCCCTCGGGGGTCGCTGGCACGAATACCTGTGAACACAAGCGCAAATGAACTTTCACAATAGCCGCGTGTCCCGGTGGTGTGTGTCGTTTGGTATTCGGGGGTACGTACCAAAGTTGATTCATAATCAACGATCAATCGCGTTGATCGATGGGACGCGAGTTCGCGAGTTAAGTCGATAAACGATACCCAGTGATACGGGGTTTTGTCTAAATGGCTGGCTCGTTAGTATTTCCATGAATACGCAAGTCTGACGAAACTCGCTAATTCCACTGGCTGGAATTTCCAAGTAACGTAATACGATGTCTGACGAGGCTTGGCTAATGGCTGCTCGTGTAATATGATAAGCATACTGCACGAGTTGAAGAAGAATAACATTGTAATATCTGGCTGTAGAGCTTCTTCGTGTGAGGGATATCGAGAAACAGTGAGGTTGATAATCTGGATGATTTGCGTATCGTCCAGGTAATTAGCAGACAGATTAAATTGTAATTTTGATCGAGATATTATTTATTCAGTCAATATCTATTCAGTTCAATTTTGTTTTTCTTCTTTCTTTATGTCAGGTATTGATTAATTCGTTCGTAGAAGAATCTCCAGTTTTTAATTTCCCCTTTTATCAAATTAATCTAAACTCAACGATTCTTTTAATATGATTAATAATTGAGAAATTAATTAACCTTCACCCCTTTTGAAGCTAAATTAAATTGAATATCGATCGACACATCCCCTAGATGAATTTTCAGTTTCAAATTTCCTTTCCCCATGAAAGAAGTTATACAATATATTGATCAATTATCGATCTCTTAAAATTAATTAAAAAAAGAATTGCATCCACTTTTTTTTTTTAATTTATCCATCTAGACAAAGGAACGTCTGTGAAAAGTTTCTCCAAGTGGCTCCAATTTCAAGAGCAAACAGAAAGCACGAAAGGGAAAGAAGAAAGCTACGCTCTAAAAACCTCTAATTCGAAATCATATTCCGGATTCATATTCGGTGGAAACGTCGGAGCGAAGCGGAGATCCGTGAGCCCGATTCCCAACCGCATTCCTGGATTCCTCGGCTGTTGCAGCGTGGTCGCGGTTTCGAGAGCGAATAGGAACCCGGAGGATGATTCGTGAAAGGTTGACCCTCGATACCGCCTGCCCGTTCTCTTTCCAGATTACTTAACGAAACCCAGTTGCGACACACGCACCGAATGGACATTTCCAACCGCAAGCGTTCACCGTGTCTGGCTGGACATGACGAATAATCATAATAATCGGAGAGTACTCGGTTACAGACGATGATCTGGAGTTTAGGTTTCGTGTGTGTTAAGTTTAATTGAAACGTATATTTTATACAGGATATATAAAATGTATTAATGTTAATATATTTTATATGCATTATATAAAAATGTATTTTATACACATAAACATATATTTAATGGAACAAATAATTAATTATATATTTAATAGTATAGTAAATATAATATAAATATAATATATAATATAATATAAAATATATATGATTATATTTAATATTATAATAAATTATAATTATAATATATAATATGATATAAAATATATGAATTATGATTATATATTTAACGTTTCTTCATTCGTTTTTTGTAATTTTCAAGAAAAAAGTATCCTCACTTTCTCACCCGTTGCGTGATGATGATGATTTCATCTTCGAGAAAAACGAACTGACGTTTGTCAAACTAGAGCCTTCACGCTTTAAATTGAGATCAAGTGGATCTTCTTTTAGTTGTAATTACCGACGATCTTTCATTGTCACAATTATGCTCTTCACCGTATATACAATTTGTATCGCAACTGGACGTTAATTTGTGTTCTCGAAACGTTTACAATTCTCGAAATAACTTTGAAACTTTGAAGTTAGGAGTTGACTGCGCTTGAAGGTGCAAGAATGGACATAACAACACGATGCACAAAATTATGAAAACATCCAAAGAAGAACAGTATATGGAAAAGAAAATTTTCCTTTTTATCGTTTTCTTCAATTACGTTCATCAAATTTTAAAAATGAACAAAAGTCAGCAGTCTAGTTACAAATGAAAAAGATTCTCGGTTGTGTCTGTTTCAATTTCATTTCGATATATCGGTTCCATGATAATGTTGTTCCACGGTAGTTATACATATGTATCAGTTATAATGTGCATTGTTTATTAATTTCGGTTGTATTGTTGTTATTTAAACGTGCAAAGTGTACGATTATTATTTGCAAAGTTACAAATTACATCGACAGTTTTTCATCGGTTACGTTTCATCTCCGCTTTCCATCTCTACAAAAATAATCCCACGGTAAATATCCCTAACATCGAGAACGTACGAGGCAAGATTTAGATCCCCTTTCCCTTCCATAAGCTCTCTCTTTGCAAACGAAGCGAAAGAAAGGGAACGACGAGAGCGCGCTTGTCACGGGGCATTCCTTTATCTGCAGCCTCGAGATGGAACGTGCCGTGATTTAATTCGAACTTAAAACGCGTGCACGACGACGCTCGCGAGTTCGCGGTTGCGACGAAAGGGACGAAGAAGAAGGAGAACCAACGAGAGTGTCGAGGAATCGATGCCTCGCGCCAAGAACGTTTCAGAAACCCCCTATAACTCTGTGCGAACGTTTACAGAAATCGTACGTACGTTGAACGTTCGCGTTTGCAGCCTCTTATCAACGTACGAAAATACGAGAGGGTATCGGTCTGTTTTGCACGCGTCTCGTGTCGTTGATTGCAACCGAAGAAATCATTGTTGATTTGATGCATTTCATTTGCAATTCTTCTCAATCTGTTTATATTCTATGATATTTGCTGCGTTACACGTCAAAATTCTGAGGTTCAGAACACCAATTTTAATTATATTTACTATAATATAATCAACACTATAATTAAATTAGAGACTTTTGACAAATTTAGCACTTGGAAAAAGTTGAATATACTTTTTATTCTGACTTTTTTCCTTTTTAGTTCGCAGAATTATCGTAAAAAAGTTTATGAATGGAGAAATTGAAACAGCGTAATTACAAGACTCTTTGAACTTTGATACTTTGAGTTCTTATAAATCTGGAATACTGAAATAAGACGAAAAACCCATTAAACGATATTTCGAAGGAGCTACGTGTAGTCTTTTATTGCATGAAACAATGTTTGATACGCGCCGTCCAATAATGATATTAAAAAAAACATAACGAAGACAATGAAACGTTACATAAATCTTACGAACACGATCATTCAAGTTCAAGTTAATTCCACGCTATACTAAGGGTTGCAGCCTCGTACGATATATTCCAATTAATGTGAAGAAATTCCAAAGACTCGCCATTCGCGTCCCACGATTTTACGAAATTAAAAAGAAAAAAAGAAACACCCGAGTATTTATACAATGCGATCGTTGCTTGATTCTCAATGACTTAATCGAGTCAACGAGGCACGTCTCCAGACGAACGTGCACATTCTCGGCGAAGTTCTTCGTCGAGAGACAAGCGGCCGGAATTAATTGGCTGGATCTTTGTTTGGCAAAGAATTCACGGCAATGATCGCCGAGGGAGTATTACACGAATCGCGAGAGAAGACGCGGCCGAGATTCGAGAGTTTAATTAAACGTCGAGTTACATCGGGGGCCTCCTCTCGGCACGATGATATTATTGCCTCGATTCCGGTCGCCTAACGTTAATGAGTTTTACTCGCCCGCCCGATGAAGGAGCTGGGGTGATCTTCGTTTCAATTTTGACATCCTCCCGATTTATTAAAATGATATTCCCAGCTGCTGGTCCCGCTACCTTCCCGTTTCTATTACTTTCCACGTCGATCCGTGAAAGGTTATTCATTTCTCAGTTTCTTGGTAGCGTTAGGGTTTTACATGGATCTTGTATTCTAAATTCCATTCGATTAAATTTATACTTAACGTTCCACTGTCGGCTGGGAATGAATATAAAGTATCGTGTTTCTACAATGGAAAATGCGATACGTTTTACTATATAAACTGTAGCAATTGTATTCTTTTTCAGAAGGAAGCAGCTATCTAATTTTGTAAAATATTTTCGAATGATTTTTGTTAATCTTTAAATGTTTAATAATAGATATTAATTAGTTTTCATTGTTTCTTTTCTCTCTCGTGTAGCTTGTACAGCCTCTTGGATTTTTGAATTATTTCCTTCTCTGCTGCATTTTTAATTATGCAAATATCTTGCTAGAACTTCCTTTTGTAAGAATATTTTCGTTATCTTTCAATTATTAATATCTCTGCTCTTTCTTCCGCTTCATCGCTGAAAACCTTATTTTCGATATCTTTTCTCCATCGCTGGTATCGAAGAAATTAAATTGTTCAATATTAATATTAACCTTAAAATAATATGGTTAACAATTGACATCAAAATAAATTTTAAAACAAATATAGTACTTGGCTTGAAACTTTTGACGAGACCCGTACACCTTTTTAACATTCACACAATCTCTATCTCTCTCAATCCTACCATTTCTTTCACTTACTTCAAGCAAACTACGCGGACATTCAATCCAGCTAAAACCCCGGTACTCTCTCTCTCTCTTTCTCTCTCTCTCTCTCTCTCTCCGTTCATAACCATGCACTCGCGGTATTCAAAATTCGGCCCACGCAGCAGACAATTTTCCCTTGAAAAAAATTTCAATTCCACTCGCGCGATAAGACGCCGAGAAATTTTTCCTTTTTCCTTTCTTTCTTTTTCTTTTTTTTTTTTTTTTTTAAGAAGACAAACGCTTTTATCCCTAAAATAAATTCGTACGTAATCTCCTCTTCTTCACGAAGACCATCGGAAGTTCTATTAATTTCACTGGTTCCCCATTATTTTCGAGGTAGCTCATGCAAATGCCACAGCAACCGGACAGTTTCACGGTGGAAGGGGGAGGGCTTAGCGTTTAATAATTTGCATGACGCATTACATACGTAAAGATGCGTTCCGCGGCCAGCCCTTATGTATAATGCATGCGCTCTTTAGCATTTTATCGCGCCGCTACTTCCGCCGGCGATTTACCTTCAAAGGGACAAACCTTCCACCAGCCGCACGGTTCATCTGCATATCGCCTAATTAAATTTCGTCCACGTGCGAGAATGAAAAGAGAAGAAGAAGAAAAAAAATGAGATCCGGGCGTCGATCTGAACTCGTCGTCCGATCGATGCGGCACTTGGCTCAGTCGCCAGAAGGGTAGGAAAGGTACAAACGAGGGAGAAGTTGCGAGGATTTTTGCGAACCGCTCGAAAAACTCTAGCCAAGCGTGAAAAGACGATTCTTTCGTCGATAAGATTACGTCTCCGTTTGTCCTCGCCTTCTTTTTTTCTTTCTTCCTTCGCCACTTTTCATCTAGGATAGAGCGATCGAGCCTTTTCATCGACCTCTGTGAAAAACTTCGTGTCTCTTTTGCACTTTATCGAAGTGAAGGTTTCTTTGTTGCATCGTCGATGCTCGATTACCTTCCTCGTTTTTCCTCTTCTTTTTTCGGTGGATTCGCGAGAAGCTTATTTATAAGTCGATTGTTAGTACTTTGAAAAGTTTAAAGAAGTCTCTCTGCTTGCTAGAAAGTGTATGAAGCAACTTTATTTTAATTTTCAACTTATTTCTGTTGGATTTATTCGAAAGCTCTCTGCTTCGTTTCAAAAATTCTATGTAGATTTTATGACATATTTTATTATGAATGTTTAATATATTTTACAATGTATCAAATATATTAATATAAATTATACAATATAATGGTTCAACAGTTTTTTTAATCTTCTTTGTTCGATCAAGAATTCTTGATCGTTGATTTAGTAGAACGTAAAGAGAGGCTCTTCTTTGCTTCATCGTTGGTATCAGTTCAGAAGTATTTGCAAAACCCACGTTTCAGAGCAAACTATCAGATACGAAGAACATTGCGTTACACTACGTTGCGAGCCACGATAATGATTTGTCAACATTGCGCGGAGCGCAAACGTGCGCGCGATCATCCGATTCCACTGCGGCTGAACACCGACCCTCCATTTCCACTGCGAGTTTTCGGCTACAAACATGGTAATCTCGCCCGTTTCCGCGACTCAACGTCATTCGCGCGCTTTTCACCAACGAAATCGCGGCAAACGCACATTGTTTTTTACAATTTCTCACGCTTTCGACGGTCATATGTATGTAAAACACACACACACACAAATGTTATAAAAATACCTTTATTATTTTTCGTGGATTTTATAGAATTTTCGTGGTTTTGCTTTGACGGAAAACAAAGGTTTTGTAAAATCGAGTACATACATACG